TCGCAGAATCGTTTAAAGTTGTCTGCCCAATGCCAACGTGGTTAAGAGGCTGAAAAAAACCACGTAGTCTGAGTAGACAGTGAGGCACCGGCCTTGCTGCTCTATCAGTCATTACCGCTCAACCTACCTGCTTATAGTTTGGCGACTGATTGCAGGGGACTACCATAAAAAACAGGCTGTCTGCCGGCAGACCTCAACAATTAAAGGGTTACTCCCACGGTCCACTCTGCTATTATGGGATATATAAGGACCAGGAGATGGTTTCACGTCCGGCTGAATTCCGGATGCTTATAAGCCCCCTTTACTATGGCTTGAACGTCCTCGTATTAAATCGTCCGTGCCCAGCAGTGGGACACTAAAAGACTGAATAAGTGCAACTTTTTATCGAGTTGTATCGACTGAATAATCTTCATAGATTTAAAATAAGGAGATCTAGACAAGATGTTATTCTACATGCGAATGTTTGTGTATGTGTGGGTTTTTGTCACTCAATCACGCCAGAACGGCTAAACGGATCTGGATGAAATGCACAGAAATAGATTAATCTGATAATACTTTTTATCCAAGAAAAAGGTACGGTTCTCGAGGGATAAATTTGTTTATATTTTTCTAGAGGCGAACCCGAGCAAAACGAGGGTGAGCCGCTAGTAAATGTATATACCTACTTTAAAAAAGGAAGTAAATAAAAACATAAAATATAAAACTATATTTGCATGATTATTTAAATTAATTTATATATTTCTTCTTGTTCTAACTGTATATTTGATTGGGAATAACAAAGCGTAGCCGCAGTACATAATGAATAATAAAAAAAATATCATAAAATATCTTCCCGCCAAAATCGATGTCACTTCGTGTGGATAAATCAAAAATGGTGGCGGCTTACATAAACTTGCAGAGTTGAATGATTTTTTATTTTTTTTCATACTTTTAAGTGAATCGTTTTTATTTTTTATCGAGTTCTCTTTTAAAATGTTGTTTGGTGATCCGTATTTTGTAATAAAAGGACCATCGATGTCAACTTTATACCAGGATTTGTATTTCTCTTTCACAGGTAATTTGATTCTTTTCTCTTCCATTTGTTAATTTTACATTGTGTGCTGGTAATGTAATAACAATTACTTTTACATGTTTGTGACGGTTTTGTATTTAATGAAAAAAAATGTCAAAATGACATTGTGTTTAAAAAGAAAATATTGTTTAGTCAGATGTTGCCGTGCTTTTATATAATATAGCCCTGACATTGGCGAAGTAATCTGTGCTCAACTTTAAAGCTTTGAAGCTAATAACAAGAAAAAAATATGAACCAGTTAAAATATAGGTATAAATAATTTTTTTTTGGCAGAATAAAAACAAGTTACTGTTAATTGAAAAGAGTATAGAAAAGTAGTAAGTAAGCAAGTACAAAATATCGGTAATAGCGTGTTCTAAATTATCGCATTCCAGAATTATTTGAAAGTAAACTTCGCTCTATAAAAACGACAATCACAAAAAAAAAAATAATTGTAAAAAAATGGCGACGAGTAACTAATGCCAGCTTCTAAAAAAATATCCCTTTTGACCCCCAAAAAGCCCCATTATTTAAAGGGGATGAATTGTTATTAAAACAAGTTAAAATAAAACACTAAACTTTGCAAATTAAACTTTATTTAATTCTTACAAAATAAATGCTAACTTGAGACCGAATTTTAAGAGTTTACTTCTTTACTATAGCAAAAAAAAAAGAAAAAAAACTTTTTTTTCAATTACAATACAAAATACCTTTATGTTGTAGTAAAATTATATATTTTAGATAAACACCAAATTATGTAACATTAAAAACTTATTACAAATTTCATCCTTAAAAAAAACTTTTTTTTTTAATTTCACAACAATAAAAAAGTTAAACTTTTTTCCGAAATATTGAGTTTCTTCCAAGCGTATACATTTAAGAACTAAATGACAACCTTTTAATATATTCTAAACCTCAGACTAAAAAATTATATAGACAGTTTTTTTATTCATTAAAATTTATTTAATATTTGTATTCTGTTTTAAAACATTATAAACTAGAAAAACAAAAGCAAATCTATCCCTCGGGAACCGTATGTTTTTTCAGAATAAAAGGCCTATGTGTAATTCCAGACTATAATCTATCTCAGTGCCAATATCCAACCAGATCCGTTCAGCCGTTCTGACGTGAAAGAGTAACAAACATCCAAACCCATTCACATTTATAATATTTATCCAGATTATTTTAAAGCATTATTGTTTGGCTTCATGTTAAGTTCTATGACACTACCTATATTATTCCTTAGTCTGAGCATCTAACCTAATATATATTTAATATTTATATAATATATATTCTGATCATAGCTTTAATATATTTAAAAACAATGCATATTAAGTAAAAGAACACTTGATAACATTTTTTAATCCCAATATCTTCTAAATATTAAATGTCTGTACGTTCGTTTGTTGAATTTCTATAAATATCATCAGTGCACACATTGTATATAAAAAAACAGAAGTCACGAGGACGGCCGACAGAAGTGAAAACTTAGATTAAAATTTGTAAATCTACATTTATCGGCATTCTGAGTGTTAGCGTTAACACGTCACGTGACCATGTCGATGACGATTTACATGAATTTACTCCCCATACAAACAAACCTGCCTATACAAGTTTTTACTTCAAAAAAAAAATTTCATCGACTTTAAATAAAAAGTTCTATATACTATGCAAGTATACTATTTATTTGCAAAAATTCATTTAAAACACTACTTAAGTCGGCTAACAATAAAAAAAAATATCAGTTAGCGCTAGAAAAAGTATAAAATTAAATTACAACATACATTTCGCAAAACAAACAGAAATATTTCATTTTTTATATACACATTATAGATTATTATGTGCCAAGTGCGAGATTTTCATACCAATGCTTATTAATATACAAAAAATCAAGATACACAATTAGCGTCTCAAAAGTGTCCTCAAAAAGAAGTGCACGATTCGAAATTGCATAGCGCATACATATCTCTTTTGTTCATTGCTTTTCGGATGACAAAATTAAAACGCACGTTGTTTTGTTTAAAAAAGTACTTTATGTGGTGTGCGTAAGTTCGAATTTGTGTTTAGACAATTAGAACTAGCGATTTTTGAATTTTATTCTTTGGTTTGACTTAACGTCACATGTCGACACCACTTTTTGAGGGGATATTTGTTAGGAAATGTGTATCTATGTTTATATATATATATATATATATATATATATATATATATATATATATATCAATGCCAATATTACAATAGATATAGAATGAAAACAGCGCCATCTAGTGGCAAAATGGGACATCATTTTACCTATTGACGTTAAGGGTCAATTTCAACAAACCTATTTTAATCAGTCGTTAGTTAATCAGAGATTACTATTATCGTTGAAGTATTAGATGACTGTTTTTAGGGTTCCGTACCCGAAGGTTGCCAATGGTACCCTATTACTAAGCCTCCGCTGTCCGTCCGTCTGTCAGAGGGCTCTATCTCATGAACCGTAATAGGTAGCGAGTCGAAATTTTCACAGAGTATGTATTTCTATTGCCGCTATAACGACATATAATAAAAAACTAAGATGTCGAATTTTAAATTGTCCGCCATGCAAATATAAAAAAAAGTGTCGAGAGCTGTTACATTTCGTTGGCTTACTATTACAAGATTCTATGTTAATTTTAATGAAGTTTAGTAATTTTTACGTAGAACTTCGTTATTTTGTTATCGTAAAAAAAAACATAGAACTATGTAAAATTGAATATCTTGTAGTTATGGTAACGCTATCTAGTGGTTTGTTTTTGCAAAACTGTAGCTAATGACACATAGAACCTTGTAGCATTAATAACTAAATAAGTACTAAAATTGTAACATAGAACCTTGTAATGGTGAGCCAACGAATTTTGTTATTAATGTAACGAATAATCACGAAAATCGACACCCAATTAAGTCAAATCTAACGACATTTAATACAAATGAGTATGGTAAAGGCCCTTTCTCAAAGCGATGGTGAAGCCATAAGAAAAAAAATTTACCTCGCACTCATACGTCCAATTTTCTATGTATTTTCTTTTATTACTTGTTTAGTATATATATATATATATATATATATATATACATTTTGGGCTTAAAGGCAATGATTCTTTTTTCTTTTTAATATTCAACTTTAATTAATATTCCACTTAGCACATTTTGCCTTTACACCTACTATATATACGTACAACCAAGTAACTCAATATTTTTATATAGATATACATATATTAATATATAACCTATAAACTAATATATTTTTAATCCTATATTGATATAAGCTGATATTATATTATTTTATTAAGTAATTTATTTATTAGTAGAAAACGATGAGCTTTATTGGATCAGTCCTTAGTGTATTTAATAAAAAAAAAAATAGTACAAACAAAAAAAATATTGCACAAAGACCACTACTGTATCATAAGACATTTAAAAAAATCAATTACTGAAAAAAAAAACATCTGCATTACTTTTTAATTATTTATAATTATTGAATTAAAAAAATAATGCAGACATTTTTTTATTGAAATGTTAAAAAAGTATTTTCTAGTTTTTTAAATGATAACACAGTATTTAACATTAAAAGATGCCAGGGTGAAGATTTTTTAATTATCTTATATACTGTTTTTTATATATAATATATGTATAAAAAAACGTTAGTCACGCTAAAAGCCATTACATACATATATGCTTAACGTTGAAATTTATGAATTAAAAAAAAACATTTATTAAGTTTATAAACTAATATTTTTTAAACATTAATTAATTTAAAACCTAATGAAGTACTTGTAAAAAATACGATACAAAAAAAACTAGAACAAAAAAAATCTAATGAAAACATCACATACCTCTAATGAAAAAAAGAAAAGAAAAAAACCAAAAAGTTTTGTGACCATAAAAAATCGGGACATCAAAAAATCGGGACGGATTTTTTTTTACTTTTTTATTCGAAAACCAATGAAGCACTGGCGTAAGACACGGAGGAGTCCTGCATCGTCATACATTGAGAGGATTGCGCGTACTTTAAAAACTTTAACGTCATTCGTGGTGCATCAGATTGACTTTGCAGTTTGTCTATGGCCTGTAAATAAATAAAAAAAATTAATAACATAATATCTAAATCGTATAATATCACAGTCAGATTACTAGTTAAAAAAAGATTGTATGTTTGTAACTCTTTCACATTAAAACGGCTGAACAGATTTGGATAAAATTCAATACACAGATAGACTATAAGCTGGAGTAACATATTATTTAGGAAACCCGAGCAAACCAAGAGTAAGTCACTTGTAGTATTATAACTCGTCTCACTCTTTCACACTGTAACATCTAAAAGGGATTTGAATGAAATTCGGAATTAAAAACTTTTACACAAATAAAATAAAATATAAGGACATTTTAAAGTACCTGTAGAAGAACACCAATAGGATGTCTGCCACATATGGTGTTGCTATATTTATTTAAATAATCTGTAAACGCGCGAGGGTCCATTTTTTCTATTATGCCCATACCCTGTAAAATAAAACAAAATGTTTTTTTTTTTTAAGTTTTATACATAACGTCTTCAACATTAGAATCTTTTAATATTTTACTTAGAATATTTTTCAAAAGTCGAAGATAACTTTTTCTGATGATTTTTTTCTATTATTAAGTTTATAAATTGATACATAATGTCCTCCTGAGCGATTTCGGCCGGCGGCCTATCTCATTGAGACTAAGCCAACTGTAGATATTATAGTGCAGTGTGTGAGGGAGAGAGCACATACAACATGCACTCTCTATTCCTGTCACTCTCATACTCCGGCAAATTTTTAACACTTGCGGTGAGATATCAGTGCTCTCCGAGGCACGAGGGTGAAACACCGCCAACTTCCCAACTCCGGGCTGTTACTGAAACTTTCTTAACAGCAAGACTCAATAACTAAATTTAGCTTGACCCAGGACTCGAACCCAGGACCTGCGGATGTGCAGCTGTACATGATATCCACTACACCACCGAGGCAGTACAGACCAGACTATCAATATACCATATACCAAAATTTATTGACATTTAGTCGAACAATTTTTCCTGATTCCTTATGGTTTAAAACTTAAGACATCCATAAAGATAAAAGCTAATAATTTTTATCTATACTGTGTACTAAAAAATTATATTATTTTAATGAAAACTAATATTAATATAATAAAATTTTAATTTAGACAAAATACAATACTTAACGCAATGACCATAGAGAATAGAGAGAGTGAAAATATATACGTTAAACTAATAAAGTCGACCACAGATTATTGTAGAAATTATATCCCAAATTTTATATTAGATAGACACATGTAAAAATCGATGTGGATGTGTACCTCATTCTACCTAAAGAGCTTGACCGATTTTGATTATTTTTCTAACTTATGCTGTCACCTGAATGGTCCTTATGCATAGCTACACTCAATAGGTAAATAGTAAATCGACCTAACAATGTCTGTGACCATTTAGGCTTAAGTCAAAATTCAGTACACAGACTACGAACTAAGCAAAACGTGGTTAAATCACTACCAAACTTATACATATGACAAGAGTTTCATACCAAATGGTCCAGCCACTCGATGCTCTGGTGTATGTGTCCACGAGACGCGTCGCGCCATGTGTATCGGAAGCGCGGGCCCCAGTGGCAGAAGTCGGAGGAGATCACTATCAGATTCTGTGGATCCGCCAGATACGGGGCTAGGATGGAGCCGTATCTGAGAAAAAAAGAAATAATATATATATAAAAAAAAAAGAAACCTAGCTTCTGGGATTTTGTCCCGGTTTTACAATGATTTTTCACACACGGGAGGTGTAAAAATATCTTATTAGAAAAACCGCAAAAATATCCGAACAGATGGTTTTATTAAAAATGTCAAATGTTTGCGTCGTCTAAGAAAGTATTACATTGAAATTAAGGAAATAGATTTGAACAAATTATTTCAATTTACTTTACCTTTACTAAGATTAATATTTGAAAAACCAGAAAAAACCTCTTGAGGGTATAATATTTTCAATAAAAAGTATCTACATATGAAAAATGAACTTTTCCTTGTGCCAAACATAACATGTTATATATCAAAAATAATACTTACTTAGCTTCCTTTTCCGGTGTGAGAGAACCAACGAGAATGGGTATAATTGTAAAGCCAGTTTTGTACCTGAAATAGAAATAAATGCAACTTTTATTATCTGTTTCAATATGCTTGATCCTGAGGATCTGGCACCTGGGTTCGGATCCCGAGTAGGTAAAGAGTATTTTGTAAGAAGAAGGATCAAGAGAGATCCTCTTACGCCTGATATCTCTCCGCGATTGTCATCCCCCGACTATGAGTGAGAGGGACAGAGAGTGTGTTTGTATATACGCTCTCTCTCACACACTGGACTATAATATCTCCTTCTGCATGGCTAGTCTCATAAGTTAAGAGTTTATTATTCAATATTTATATTTGTGCAATAAAATATTTTAAATGTATATATGTAGTGATTTAAAAAAAACTTACTCTTCCATAACTTTTGCTATGTAGGGTAGATGCATCTCTATAGAGTGCTCGTCCTCATCTGTCTGTACGTCCATCCATTCGAACTGTCTTGTCGCTTCCAATTCAGCGTATACTAAAGAAAACATGGAATAATAAGATATTATATATATATAGATCGAACTACTATTACAAAATGCAAAAGTTTGTATGTATGTATGTTTGTTTGTTACTCTTTCACGCTGAAACGACTGCACAGATTTGAATGAAACTTTACAATACAATAGTACTCAGATAGACAACGATTTAGAGAGAGCATAGGGTGAGACATGATGTTAGGCACCTAGAGATGCACCCGAGCGAAATAAGATTTGTCTGTAGTCTATAGATAATTCTTTTTTTGTAATTCTTCTAAGTACCCTAGTCTAGTTAGTATACTTCGAATCATAATCTCCCGAGTTCGAATTCCACGTTGAGCTAAAACAGTTGCAGCTTAGAGTTAGTAACTCAGTGGTATCTTAACCTTTGATTTTGACCGAAATACTGTAAAGAAACACCAATTTTCATGGACGATTTCGAAGTTAAAGAGCTGTCACTACTGTAACTTGCCACGCTACGGCACTCCGTATCGTGGCAAGTTACAGTTATATTTTCAACCCTAAACCCATCTCCCGATTGTCATATAAAAGTATGTATGTAGTCGGGAGCACTTCTCCCGCATTGCCCTGTCTTGACACCTTCGTTGGACAACTGTATAAATTAGTACACCGTGGTATTAGTATACTTACTCTGTTTATCAATAGTGAGATCGTAGAGCGGCGTTTGGTACTTATCGAGGGAGGACAACGCACAGCCTCCCAACCTCACATGATGGGAAGGTCCAAGGATAAAAATACGTTTTCTGTAAGGAAAATATAATAGCGATTTTTATTAACGACTTGGTACCTATTGGTAACTAGTACAGATAAAAACTTATCTAGTTAATTAAAGAAATTATACGATTATTCGAAATCTGTTACCTACACAGAGAAGATAAATATTACGACTGTGAACTAAAAATATAAAGCTATTTAAAAAGATTCCAATTCTTAATAAAATCAAACTTTAATGCAAATTTTGATCCTGTAAGAGTTTCATTACAAAAAGTGACGTAACATAAAGTGAGGTACAAATTTTCTTTGATTTTTTTATATATAATCTTAAATTTTAAATTTTCTTCCACGTCATGTACCTACCCCCACGAATTATCAACCATATTAATTTACTTAATTCAATGACAATTGACAAGCAAAATAGTATCAACGGTTTAAAAAAAAAACAAATATATCCAGATTTTATACTCACACAACTACAGGGCTCACTTGTCTGTACGCAAAAGCTGCGCACGCGCCGCAGTATGAATATCCTGCATGCCTATAATACACAAAGGACAAAGTCATTAAACCAAAAATACTAAAGTATGTCGACCTATATGTAGAATAACACGAAAAGGTCTTTAGTTTTAACTCCAGCTAAATTTCTAAGAAATTAGTTAAAAGTCTAAGAAATCTTAACTGACACGCCGGCGTATCCGCGGTCGTGGTGGGATTAATAACATTTTTATGGATTATTAAAATTTTGTTATTTATAATTTATTAGAAATGTTTTTTGTAGGTCATTAAAAATAATATATAGATTAAATTAAAAAGCATGTTTTAAGACCACATTTTGAAACCTCCCCAAAGATTGGACTTAAAAAAAAGACCGTTACGCATATTTTACACTTTTATTTAAAAAAAAGGCAATTATAATAGTAAAATAAGAAAATAATAGATGGGACATAATGTACGGCAGATACCTAAATATTCAAAAAAAATATTTGAAACGAATAATAAGCGACATGCATATTTTAAAGTTATTGAATTTAATTCAAAAGTAAACTTACGGCGCAATAATAGCTCTGGCAGGACCATGTGTGAGGTCAGCCTTCGACAGCCATAAGTCTAGCTGCCTAGACAACTCCGAACCTGTAATAAATAAAATAGTTATTAAAAAAAAACCTCTTGCTTTTGACCCACTGCTATGTACGGGGATCGTCAAAAAGTATCCAACAAGCCCCAACTCTAGGTAGGTTAAAATCGATTTCTAAGTTACAAGTTGATGTTAGTTGTTAAATAATTAACAACACACATAGCGACCCTACCAGTTAGCGTTTTTGACACACATGTATATAAAACGCACAAGCTCCACGATTGATACTTAAATGCCCTTATATGAATATACGTCAAGACTTGAGCTCGAACCTGCTACCTTTGATGTAAGTAGTGAAAACTTTTAATATCCATATATAAAAATTAATCATAACTTGAGAGCCTTTCAATTATACTGGTTAAAATTAATTCTACATTGAGAACCACCTCCTTTTTCAAAGAAATCAGTTGAAAATGTAATATTTGATAATTTTTTTCTTTTTAGTACTACGTATTGCCATACAATAGGAATTTCGTACGTCTACGTATCTACTACGGATTGAAAAAAAAAACAAATACTAAATGTTAAATGAAGCTTACCACAATACATTAGTGAAAACCGCACCCAAATCGGTTAAGCCGTTTCTGAGCTGGCACCGATTTCGAAAATATTTGATTAGGTATGTATTTAATAGGTAGGCATTAATTACATAGCCAAAGCACACCGACTTCGAAAATATTTGATTAGGTATGTATAGTAAATGAAAACTACCAATCAGTTATTTTTTACTTTTTAGTGCTTTTGTTTGAAGTCGGTTTTTATTTTTTTGTTAAAAAGTTTTTTATTATAGTATGTAGAGATATTTACTTAGATAAAAAAAACTTTGTGGGTGTTATTAGATCTTAATTAAAAAAAATGATAGGAGTAAAAAGTAGAAATCGGGACAAAGTTGTAGAAAAAGCAGGACAAAGCAAAAACAACAGAAATGAATTGTCTTAGACAAAAAAAGCCAGAGTAAGGTGAAAAATTGGGACATAGAAATATCAATTTTAAGTACAAAGTATATATTATGATCTGATTGATTGTAAAACTACTATTAAATTATTTACTCATAATTAAAGTATCAAAATAAAAGTGTTTGCAAAATAAAGAATTTAGACTATCTCCCTTAGGCTACTAAAATGGAAGACAACAATGTGCCACTAAAAGTGTTACATGGTAACACTACTTATAAACCAGTAATTTTTTTCAATTATAACTTTTATTACCTATGACTAAAAAGTGACAAACACTAAAACTATTAAGCAAGTAGGTAAAGAAAACTAAAAGTCCTGTTCCAATGTAACAAGAAAATTACATATATTTTATTTAATAACTATAAAAGACCATAATTAAATTAAAAACAAAAACAATAATTATTCATCATCATTATCCATGACAGAGGCAATTTTCTCGGACACCTCTTTCAATAACTTTTCACTGAATTTCGGAAACTTCATTTCCAATTCAGACTTTAAGCTTTCTAAATCAAATCTGTCTTTTTCAATATCATTTAAGTTAACATGAGATTTTTCATATTCTTTAAATTTATCTATATCTAAATTTGAGTGTTTTTTAATCTGTTCCAATCCTTCAATGGCTTCATTGACTGCGTCTAACAATTGTCTATGACCAGATTCATTATTATACCCAAAATCTACATTTTTGGTTTCCAATTTATCTAGACAGCTTTCTTCGGTAATTTTTAAGTTATTTAGAATGTCTTCAACGCTAGAATTATCTGCCATGTTATAAAATGTTGAGCAATCCTGGTTTTTCAAATTTAATAATCTGTAAATAGAAATCAGAAACAACATTAAAAATATCAAGATAAATTAAATAATTCAAAATAAATTAACAAAAATATTAATTACTTTAGTATTCATATTTTAATTGATATAGAGATCTTATTTAAAAACCAACGTTTTTATTAAAAAAAAATGATAAGCATCTCTTATATTATAATATACGAGCAATAAAAACTTAATAGAACAGCAACGAAAAGCAAAAAAGTTAATTCTTTTTAACCGGATATTGAGTAACAGCACAAAATCAAGTTACCTTTTTTGTTCAACAACAAAACTAATATCTTTCAACCGCCTGTTTGTTTTATCTAATATATCCATAGTTTTCTGGAATCGGTTACCCAATTGTGCCATTTGTATGTCCATTTGAGTTTCTTCTCTTTCAATTTTCTCTTCAACAAGACAATCTTCCAACATGGCACGCAAAAATTTCCCGTATGCAATTTGGCGATATTCAGCGTCAAAATCTGGCATGGAACCTTCCGATTTACATATCGTTATGTCGCTACTGCCGATTACTGTGGTATTTTTATTGACTTTTGCACGAGCGACCACTTTATCTTTGCTCGGAACAGCTTTTCGACTTGTACTAGGAACATTGACTGTTGAAGGTCTTGGTGTGGTTTTGGCGCGAACATTTTTCGTCGGTGGAGCCATTAGCTTGTTTTTATCCATTATAAATAAAAATATTAGATAATTCAATTAAAAATCGACACACGAACTTTTTGTTTATAATTTCCGTTGACAGTTTAAAAATTAAAATAGTGTCATGGCGACGGTATCTTTTTGTCAAATGTTGTTTACAAACGAATATTTTCGAGTTTAAGCAAACGAAATAAGCTATATATTTATAAATAAATAAAGAAATTTCAATTTTATTATAATAAAATGAAAATTAGTTAAAATATGAATTGACTTTTAACAAAGAATCTTTATGCGTCACGATGACACGATCTCTATTTCTGGACGGACGTTTAAAAGTCATAATGGCAAAGCAAAAAATCTTTAAAAATAATTATAAATCAACACGCGACAAATATCTGATTAATTAAAATTTAAAATATATAATTTATACAGTTTATAATTTGTATTATTTAATCTATTTTATATAATAAGTAGTAATTACGAATACTTATTAAAAAGTAACCTATACAATTGACCTAAAGAAAACTAATTCTGAGTCTATACCTCATTAAAATATTATATTATTTTAAACAAAGGAGCTAAATTTTCCATATATTACTACAAATCAGTAATATAAGCAGAATTATCATATAACAGTTCATAATGAATGTATATTATATTGATTACAAAATATTTTAAGCATCGTTTGTAAATTTCATAGCTATACAAAAATAAACAGAGTTCTTTGTTACAAATCTAACAATACAATCCGTTCCGGATTTAAGATGGTTTTTTATGGATTAAAAAAAAAGGTGGTAGCTTAAAGAGTCATTAACCTTTTGACTTTTCATGCCACTGACACCGACAAAATCATTGTGTGGATTGGACACAAGTTTTTCTTTTAAGGACTTTTTATTAAAACTAACAATAAAAATATATTGTAAGTAAACCCATATAAGGATAACATTTTCAAATACACCTTTACGTACCATTTTCAGTATACCAGCTACCAGCGTGAGATGCGTTACGACAAGACATTTTTGTAAACAAAAATTATCTTTTTATATGAATAACTACAAAATAAAATCACTTTTTCAATCACAAAAATAATACTTTGACGTTGATGTATACAATTCCACTTTGTAGCGGAGTAATGGTGCACAGATGTAAAAACTAAAATGTAAATTGTAATTTATGATAGAAGAATAAATATAATACAATAAAGATACAGATACACTAAAATAAACACAATAAAACAATTAAATTTTCTTAGATTATGAATATTTTATTCATTATATTATGATTTTTTTATTATATTATGAATACTTATTATTTTTTATACTTTTTCATTGATGTATATAATAAGTATCAATAATTAAAGTTTAAGTTTATGATCTCATTTTTTTATATTCAATTATATATTCATTTTTTTATATTACTACATTATACTTCAATAATAAACAAAACTATTAGATTAAAATAAATGAATTAAAATACATTTAGGTTTTTAAATACCACAATATTAATCTAGTATATAAATTAAAATTGAAGAAAATCACGCGTGTCCGACTTTCAATGTCAAAATCAAAATGACAAATCATGAAAAAAAATACAAAATTACAAATTGTGAAAAATTGACATTTGTGATTTTGATTTATAAAAAGTCGGCGAAATCCACGGTGTTTGTGCGATATTATAAATTAAAATAATATAAATTATACGCAAATTCTAGTACATTCAAGTTTTCAACATTAGACCATTTTAATTATTATTCTAATTATTGTCTGTTTTATATTTATATAATTTACAAATGAGATTTTGACCTATTTATTTCTAATCATTTCATAACAATCCCAGCACAATTTTTGGAACATGCTGACTTCTCTATGTAAGTTTACTTTATTTCTTGTACTTTTATAAATATATAATTTAGGGATCGATTTCAATAAGGACGGAAAATAAGTGCTTTGTTAGTTAAACATATTAAATGTTTAACTTACAAAGCACTTGTTTTTTTTATAGTGTAATAAAAAATAACCGTTCTATAAAAATATAAACTTTAACACTATTTAATTTAGATATTTTATTTTAAACTATGAACTTTTCTTTCAATATTTTTTATTAAATATATATATTAAAATACTTGTATAAATAATACTTATAGCAAATTAGAAACTTAATATGGTTGCTTATTAGCATATAGTTACAATAGAATATTATAATGTATTGTATGTATTGGCAAGTACCATGTACAGAATTTTACTTTTAAAGCGAGTAAATATTTTCCTTTAAAATTAAAATCTATACTAATATTATAAAGAGGCAGAGTTTGTTTGTTTGTTTGAACGCACTAATCTCAGGAACTACTCATCCAATTTATGATTTATGTTTATTGAGGAAGGCTATAAGCTATATATTATCCCAGAAAAATGTACAGTTCCCATGGGATAAATTTGTTTTTGTCTATGGACAAACCCAAAGCAAGGGTGAGTCGCTAGTAATATATAAAGCTAACTAATAATACTAATATAAAACTATAAAATATCTATTAGATTATTTTTAATTGATTTAAATTTGATCTAGAATACTTTATTTAGGATTGCAGTTTCCTAAATTATATTACATGAGGTAAAATAACATTTATAATATATACATTCTTTATAATAAGCCATTTTTTATTACAGATAGGCATCATTCCAAATTCTTAACAAAATGGACCCACATAAGATCAGTGAGTCAAAGCGCACAGAACCCGAAGACTGCTATAATTATGTTAAACATGGGCGGACCACAGAGTGCAGACCAGGTTTTTCTTTTAATTATTACATCCATATCCATACCAATATTATAAATGTGAAAGTTTGTGAGGATGAATGGATAGATGTTTGTTACTCTTACACGCCAGAACAACTGAACTGTGTGGATGAAATTTGACACAGAGATAGATTATAGTGTGGAATAGCATATAGGTTACAGAGGTAGGGGCGAGTGAAGCGAAGTGAGGGTCAGTCGCTAGTAAGCTATATTAGTTAAATAAAAATTATTTAAAAATATAGACCATTTCAGTACTATTCTATCTGATAGTATCTTGTACAAAAATATGGAAAGACAGTTTGTCTTATTAACGGAGTGCATTCTGAGTTAGTGCTAGTTTCCATGTTGTGGCTTAAGGAATTTGAGTCAAATTCTGAATAGAGAAGGCATATATTTTAGATGAACCCATTATCTATATTTTTAGAGTTTCATGCCACAAAAGGAAACCCTTATAGGATCACTTTGTTGATTGTCTGTCTGTCTGTCAAGACCCTTTTTCTCAGGAACGCGTGTAGGTATCAAGTTTAAATTAATATCAAATACTCGGGTCTGCAATCCCTTGGAACTGTGAAAAAATCAAATTTCTAAGTTAATGCAATCAAAAGATATAGCTGTTTATGCCTCATGTTGACACTAGCAAGGGAATCAAATGTATAGGATACTTCCCGTTGACCTAGAATCATGAAATTTGGCAAAAATTAATGTCCAAATCTGAAAATAGTAAATATGTAGTTATAAAACAAAAAAAAATTTGCTATTATAATCTTATTCATGTAACAGAACACGCAGTGTGCAAGTCAAATTCGCACTATCACATAAATAAATAAATATATCGGTACATTAACACACAGCACCATCTAGCTCCATGGTTCATGGCTCCATGGCTCTACGAGGCCTGTGTTATGGATACCAGATAGTTGATACACTATACACATATTATTATACAACTTTAAATACATACATATTATAAATATAAACACCCATGAATGGAGTACAAACATTCATGCTAATCACACTAATGAATGCCCCCAGCGGGACTCGAACCTGCAACCGCTGGCACAGCAAGTAGGGTCACTACAAACTGAGTCATAACCAAAACTGTGGAAAATGACTAATGGTACATACATATATTTCAGGTCCAAGATTATCTTTTGCGAATAATGACAGATCGAGATATGATCCAATTACCAGTACAAAGTAAACTCGGTCCATGGATAGCAAGCCGACGGACTGAGGAAGTTAAAAAGAAATATATGGAAATTGGTGGGGGTTCCCCCATTTACAAGTGGACAGATTTACAAGGTATGATATCTTTTATCTTTTTCTAACATCTTTTTTGTGTGAAAATTTAATGTAATATTTGCAATATAAAATAGATAAAATTTTTAAGTATGATTTACGCGAATATTTGACATTTTAAATAAAACTATCTTCTCGGGATTTTTCACGAATTTAGTTAGATTTTTGGTCGGGACGTTTCGAATGCTTTAAAGCAATCATGGGTCTCTTATACGTCCTTTATAATGACACAGTGCTGGGGGCGGGCCTCTCTTTAATACGAGGGGGATCAGGCCTTAGTCCACCACGCTGGCCAAGTGCGGGTGGACTGAGCATGTCTTTCGAAAACTTGCTAGGTTCTCTCATAAGTTTTTCTTTACCGTAAAACTGGTAGTCCTGTCGAAAATGATTCGCACATGAAAATATCAGAGGTCGAGACCCGAGATTTCAGCACCACTGAGTTACCACTGCCTTTTTTACTATATAAATAATAAACATAATTTCTGACTTATCAAGCGCCATTGGTCCTATAATAAGAGAAACTAAAATTCTCATAATGCCTAAAACATTTTTCAAATTAAAGACAGGAATAAGCAGATTGTTAACATTAGGTTTCAAACTTACAATGGAACTAGATGGTGGTGTGTGTTCATGTCCTAACATATTTATTTACTAGCATTGCCGGCGACTTCTCCCGCGTTCAGATGACCAAAAACCAAATTCTTAGGTTTTACATATTAGTATACTCACATTGCACTTTTTGTATTTTTTCTCAGAAATGAGATATTTTCCCGCGGTAAAAAGTATCCTATATGTTGACCCAGATAACCAGCTATTATCATACCAAATTTCATCAAAATCTGTCCAGTGGTTTTCTCGTGATGCGGTAACAGACAGACAAAAATTCTAAAAACTATATTTTATTATATGTATAGATTAAATATGTACTAAAAAATATGTTTCTTACAGGTAGACTCTTAACGCAAACCTTAGACCAAATGTTGCCCGAATCAGCACCACATAAACACTATATAGCATTTAGATATGTACCACCATTCACTGAAGATGCGTTTAGTCAGTTGGAGAAGTGAGTATTATTTAATATATTAAAATCGGTTTATTTATTTGGGCGTTACGAAGCCATAAACAGACACACAGACGTTTAACTTATAACTCCTTTTAAACTTAAAGAAAGAAGACAATTTCTTCAGTTTATTTAGTGTATTTAAAGTGGAATAATTACTGTACTCGGAACCGGTTTAAAAAACCGTTTATTTCGACAATGTAACGGTTAATTAAATTCATCGTGCGATTATTAACTGGTTCATAATTTAATAAAAACAGGTTTAGTAAAACAAAATAATAACTGTTAACGGTTATTCTTTGTGAAAGTGTTGGATTACGGTTTTAAAACCGAAATAAACCGGTTAATTCATTAATAAGTAAAAAACGTGCATGTATTCTTCTACTAAGTAATACACCATTAGCAAAGATTCGTCAAATATAAACGGACAAAAATTTATTTTAACCGGTTAATTACGATCATGGAACCTGATTTCGTCAAAATCCGTTTTCCAGGTTTTAACCGGTTAAATAATGTAACCGAAACCTTAAACCGAAACGTCTTTCGGTTTGGGGTCTATGACCGAAAGCGGTTTAAAAATTGAACGGGATTCCGAGCCCTGCTGTGTATATAGGTAGCTATATAAGTAAGTACATCACTTGAAAACAGCTGGACTAGTTTGAAAAAACTTCTTATTTTTACCAACTTCTTAACATATTCATAACTAGCGACTCACCCTCGCTTCACTCGTGTACGTTTTATTTTTTTTGAGTGGAACCCTAATTCTTTTTTAAATAATAGTAACCTAAGTTACTCCTTATAACATCAACTACCTGCCAGTAAAGGTCCCCTTAAAATCAGTCCAGCCGTTTCGGAGATTAACCGGAACAAACAGACAGACAAACAACATTTTAAAAATTGTGCTTTTCTTATTAGTACCGTATATCAGTATAGATAGTCCGATCCTTTCAAGCTGGAAAAATTGATAAATTCGAGACGCATGGATTTTTTTTTTAAATAATAAATTAATTTTGATTTGTACAGAACAAGGTTTGCAAAAGTAAAAAATAACAAAAATATTTTTTTTTATAATACTTTCTTAGATTTACGCGAATATTTTATATGAAAAAATATAATTTTGTTTCAGAGATGGCGTCGAGAGGGCGATCATATTTTCCCAATACCCCCAATACAGTTGTGCCACGACCGGCTCAAGTTTGAATGCGATAGCTGACTTCTATAAGAACAGGTGAGGATTTCATGCATATTTAATTTTTGAGTTTGTCCTTATGTACGTTTTAATGGTTAGTATGGAATAGACTATAATATTAGTTATACATATAATAAAATTCTGAGTCGAATCTGTACATTAAATATTTTTTGGAAAATCTTATTGAAATAGACATTATTATCGATACAGAGGCTGAATATATAGTTTTTAGAATTTTTGTCTGTCTGTCTAGGAACACATCATGAGAAAACCACTGGACAGATTTTGATAAAATTTGGTATGTATAATGATAGCTGGTTATCCGGGTCAACATAGAATACTTTGTACTGCAGAAAAAAAAATCTCATCTCTGAGAAGTCTATACAAAATGTTAAAACGTAACTAGGTACTAACCCATTCCGAATATAAATGTGAAACATAATACTTTCTTAGATTTACGCGAATGTTTGACATTATTAAATAAAAATTTTTTTTTTTTTTGCTTGTTTGTTTGTAATTCTTTCACACTGAAACAGATTGATATTGTTGTGAGTTTTGTATGGAGATATTTGGTTTGTAAAATAATGACTTAATATATAATTTCCTAGGTTAATTTTTTGTTTATAGAATAAATATTCAAATGTATTTTTTTTTATGATTTTCTGTAATTTGATCATTATTTAAATGTAATATTTTTCTTTTCAGACCATTACCAGATATAAAGTTTTCATTGATAGAAAGATGGGCGACAAACAGACATCTAGCAACTGTTTTTGCGGAGAGAATCAAAGAGAAACTGAAGCTATTTGATAGGAAAATAAGAAATCAAGTGCTAATATTGTTTACGGCACATAGTTTGCCGTTAAAGGTAATATGTTATTATGTTGCTATTATAATGTGAATGTTTGTTTGTATGTATGTATGTGTGTATGTATATATGTATGTCACTCTTTCACGGTCTACGGCTGTACGGATTTTGATGAAATTTAGTATATAGATATACTATAAGCTGGAGTGACAAATAAATGTGCATGTGTGTGCAACTGACACACGGTAGAAGTGTAACTACAGAAAAATAACCTACGAGAGAGTGAGATGAATATAGAGTATAAGGAGTAGGGTCATTGTAAAGTTTAATTTTTTTATATTTCTACCAAGTTTAAGAGTTATTTTACATTTTATTTAAGAATGGTTACCATGGCAACATGGCAACGTATTCTATTTCATTCTCTCCCCGGCTTAATCCCATATATTTATAGGTTCGTCTCTTCCTAGTGTCGCTTTTTCGTTTCATCTAGTTTCAAATCACAACAATTCTAAAGAAGTTTCCGCTTTAAAAAAATCTCTTTCACCACAGGCGGTATCCCGCGGAGATACTTATCCCCATGAGGTGGCAGCTTCAGTGTCAGCGACCATGTCCCAGCTTTCCCTACCAAATCCCCACCGGCTCGTCTGGCAAAGCAAAGTTGGGCCTTTGCCATGGTTACAGCCATATACCGATGATGCGATAAAAGTGAGTTGGATATTATGTCTAAGTGCAAATGAGAACCTACTTGCTGTGCTAATGGTCTAGGGTTCGAGTCCCGCTGGGGGCATTCATTTGTGTGATGAGCACGAATGTTTGTACTCCAATCATGGGTGTTTATATTTATAATATGTATGTATTTAAAGTTATATATATGTAGAGTATCAACTATCTGGTATCCATAACACAGACCTCGTAGCTTACTATGGAACTAGATGGTGCTGTGTGTTAATGTCCCAACATATGTATATATTTAGTCTGGTGTAATTTTAATTTAGATAATTATAAATAAATAAATAAAGTTAGAATATACAAAAAACTTCATATTAACCACATTTTTCTTAATTATATTTTAAAACTAATGACAAACTATAAAATTATATTATAATTTTTTTATTAAAATTTGTTTTTTTTTTAATAATAATTGTTTTTCTTTCCAGGCATATGCAAAGCAAGGCTGTAAATACATAATCCTAGTGCCCATAGCTTTTGTCAACGAACATATAGAAACTCTGCACGAGTTGGACATAGAGTATTGTGATGAAGTTGCTAAAGAGGTTGTTATCCATATACATCATAAAACTGTAGAGGTCGAATGTCTGTACATAGAAAAAAATGCTAAAAACATAGTCAGGGGGATGTAAGGAGACAAATAGAACGAATCCGGAGTTGTGTCTATTATTTTGTTTCTCTGTCTGTTTGTACGGGCTAATCTCCGAAACTGTTGGACCGATTTAAATAAAAATTTACCGTAAAATTTTAAAATTGTACCTTATATACACGGTCAACATTGTAGATACTTTTCATCCCGGAAAATTAAAGAGTTCCCGTGGGATAGTTAAAAAATATATACAGCTTAGTACACAAAAAATACAGATTGGATTTTAATAAAACTTTACAATAATATAGTTCATACATCAGAATAACAAATAAGCTACTTTTTATCCCAGAAAAATTTACGATTCCCTTGGGATAGATTTGTTATTTAATAAATTGCAATAATTAATTAAATAATTAAATAAAATTGCAATAGTTAATTAAATAATTAAATAAAATTGCAATAATTAATTAAATAATTCATTTCCCAGGCGGGTATAACCCAAATAGAAAGAGCTGCGGCGCCCAACGACCACCCTACATTCATAGCCGCCATGGCGGATGTCGTCGCGAACCACATTGCAAAAGGGCCAGCCGTTTCCTTACAGTACTTGTCTAGGTGGGTTTTATTGGATAATCTATAATTAATGTTATAAAGAGACTGAATTTGTTTGTTTGTATGAACGCGCTAATCTCAGGAACTACTAATCCGATTTGAAAAATTATTTTAGCAGCGGAACAGTAATCATAAATATCAACAAATCGGGCAGACTTCAGTACATTATTATTGTCTATTCCATACAACATTCTGATTCATCTATACAGATAAATAAAATTGAAGTTTCTGTGTAATGTCAAAATAACAGCTTTTTACTGAATACATACATATGAAATTATATACAGTACTTAAACACAATTTTTGAAATTTTTGTTTCTGTCTGTTTGTTCCGGCTAATCTTCGAAACGGCTGGACCAATTTGGATGGGACTTTTACTGGCAGATAGCTGATGTTATAAAGAGTAACATAGGCTACTTTTATTTTGGAAAAAAACAGGGTTCCGCGCAAAAAATTAAAATGTGTTATTATTTTCCAGGTGTCCTCACTGCGTTAGTGAAAGATGTAAAATGTCAAAGGAGTTCTACAAAAAGCTATGCAAATATGTAGATACAGAACCGAGTTTAACTCAAACTTAATTAACTTTAACTATTTAAAAAAAATGAAATTATTTCCTATTTTACTTTGATTGGCCATAAACGCCAAAATATTGTTTATTTCCTTCCCAAAAATATAGTTTATAATGATTTTTTTGACGAAGATGGCACGTTTGGCTCAGTCCGTAGTGACCCTTCTTGATGTGCCAGCGGTCGAGGGTTGGAGTCCCGCTGGGGGCATTCATTTGTGTGATAGGCATGAATGTCTGTACTTCAGTCGTGGGTGCTTATATTTATAATATGTATGTATTTAAAGTTATATATGTGTAGTGTATTAACTATCTGGTATCCATAACACAAGCCTCGTAGCTTACCATGGAACTGGAAGGTGCTGTAAATATTTGTTTGGTGAGACAATTCAGTATTTAAAAGTGGCTTTACTTTAACATAACATTAAATTATTGAAGGAAAATTGTTTTAATTTAAAAAAAAAATATTTATTATTACAATATTTTAATATAAAATGATTTTTTTTAAATAATTTGGAAGTTTTGGGTTACGCCATTTTTGCTCTGGTCTTCTTACAAAATAAAATTAATAAAATTGTTATTTTAAATACATTAGTTTATGGGTGATTTGCATTTTTTATATACTCTGTTTTGTTGTTTTTTTGTATAGAAATGTCAATTTCAATTTTATCTTTTTAATTTTTATCAAGGTGAGGCATTTACTGGTTAAAGACTGTATAATATGGTATCTGGCAATGAATTATTTAATTTAATTTTGTTTTTTATTTTCCTTCCTTTATTGACTTCAATCGGGTGTTTTAAGAAGCAATTATGATTAGTATGAAACTAGCGAAAAAATTAAATGATTCTACCCCACGGGAACCATACTTTTTACGGGATAAAAAGTAGCCTACGTGCTATTATTATAGGAAACATACATACACACATTGATTTTTATATATATAAAAGAGTTTGGTTTGATTTGTCAACGCCATCTATCGTCCATTTAAGTACAAAATAACCCGATATTGAAACGCCATGTCAACAGGTGTCCCATATCATACAAAGAGATTGGACAGACAGAACAAACCAAGGTTTGGGATTTTTATTAAAATTATAAATAAATTTTGTGTTAAATGTCACCAATTGGCAATTGCCAATGAAAACAGCGCCATCTATGAATACGCAATATTACCTCATTGCTAATGACAGATTTTATTATGATCAGCAAATTTAGTTTAGAAAGCTTTAGTTTAATTTTCTAAAGAAAAACTTAAAATCTTTTTAAAACCAGATTTCGGAAAAGAATTCTTTTGTTTCATTGCTATAGCAATATACTAAATGGATATATTAAACGCCATCTATTAACATTTATTTGAACTAATTTCTTCTTCCTGATGAGACCTAATCTAAGGTGGTAGTATAAACTGATGGTGTCAGACTTAATAATTATTATTATAATTATGGCTATTGCCACTAAAAAAATCTACACCTATAAAGAAAAAATGGTGATAGAGCATTGTTCTCATCGGCGTAACAGTTACCACTGACCATGATGTCGCATTTGGATTCCGTCTCAGAAAGTAAACTTTTTAAATAAAGTTTCATATTTTATTTAAACCATAAATCATGGTCACGGGAGGTCAGCCTCTCCCGTGACCATGATTGCTGTAAAGAATTCGAATCAAAATAAACCCGCGAAATAATCCAAAAAATAGTTTTATTGTTTTAAAATTATAATATCTTTTTTTTCCTTGCATTCATTAATTAAAATTGTAATAAAAGAGACAGGTTATTGGCCGCGCGTTCGCTTCTTCTCTTTCTAGCGTGATGTCAATTTCATAAGAGCGTTACTCTTCATTTAAGGCAAGAGTAATAAAACAACGTGTAGTAAAATATAAACCTTTATTTACTTCGTCGAATGTTAGTATATAATAATATAAATAAACAAAAACTGATACAAAATAAAGTATTTAAATAGTTTTTTTTAGATGTCTACGTACATTTTATATAGAGTGGACAAAAATAGAAATAACACGTGAGAATAAAATAGTAATAAATTGAATAAATATATTTTTTTTACAATGAGAGCTACCGGGCGTGAATTCACCGCGAGAGGGCTACAGTGTAGAGTGAGGTCTTTGAAAGTGTCTAATGACACTGAATATTCACCGTTTGCTAAAGTGGAGTTAAAAAAAAATTTTTTTTAGCTTGGAAGTAGAATTTTAGCTTTTAAAAAAACAAAATATTTGAAAAAAATAAAATTTTTGTTTTTTACCTAGCATTTAGAGGTGGTCAACTGATTTTTAAAATTCATAATTAATTAAAATTTTGGGATTAAATGAGAGGAGTGGTCTTTGAAAACATTCAAGAATTGATGAATATAGTCATTTTCTACTCAACTTTCACACTCATTTTAAATTTCAAAAACGATAACACTCATTTCTATGTACTGAAGCTAATACAACCAAGTCCTTACATCTAATCAAAGAAATCATTAAATTGAAAATTTGTTTCTTTTTTAAACAATTTCATTCAGATTTATTTTTTTGTATTATTTATTACATTTTTTAATTAAAAAAAATATTGTTGAAAAAAATTACGAATATTCTGACATGATTCAAAGAAGCTTAGTTTTAATCGTTTTTTAGAACCAAATCTTCAATTCAAACACATATTTGATTTAATAACTTACTTAAAAAAATATGGAAATAAACGACATTAAATGTCTTCGTCCAAAAATATCCATAAACTAGAATTAATTTAGTAAATCTAAAGTGTAATATTTAATTTCAAAATACTATATAATCTGTTAGGTCAGGAATGCCAAAGTTCGTGTTTTAAACGAAAATTAAATAATTTAATGATAAAATGATACTATTGAAAAAAAAGAAATATCTTCAGAAAAAAATTATGACATTGACAATTTAAGGAAAAAACGATGTTTTTAGAATGTTTATAATTGAAAAAAATATATAATAACATATATATATACACGGTCTGTAAGTAAACATTCATATCTGATAAAAAATCTATTTCTAAAAAAATATTTTTTTATAAATATAAATTATATACAGGAAAATAATTTTAAAGCTATTCAATTAAGTTAGCCCAGTGGTCGAAATTCTACAGATTTTTTTAATGTTAACACGAAAGCTCATCTATAACTACTAAAAAAAAAGGGAAATCTGTTGACAAACAGAAGAGAAAAATGTACTGAACTGTTTTGTCTTTACCTATTTATATATAACCTGATTGATATATAATATGTATATATAATTTAAATATGTGTTAAAAGTTGCCAAATAATGAGTCTTTTATTTCTTTTTTGCAATTACTGATACCTACTCTAAATTTTTGTTATTCAGCAATGGAAATTTTGAATTAAGATTTATTATTATTATTTTTACTAAGTCCTTATTAATTTCTTGCAAATGTTAAAGTATGAACATAGTATTTTTCCAGCTTTGCTTGATACTAACAAAAAACTAGCCTATATGTTATATATAGGGCTTTTATATAACACTAGCGACTCACACTCGCTTCGCTCGGGTTCCTTCCTAGGTTGCTTTCAAATACAAACTTTCATCCCAATTTTCACCCCATTAAGAGGTGATTACCCGGTTAGAAGCTATCCTATGCCCTTCTCGGGGTCTCAAACTATCTTCATACCAAATTTCATCTAAATGGGTTCAGTAGTTTCGGAGCCTATTCGATACAAACAAACAAACAAAAAATCAATTTTTTCCTCTTTATAATATAAGAATAGATCACTATCCTCTCACACTACATGAGTGAAGTAATTTTTTTTTTAAAACAGTCATCAGTATTGTATTTCGTGACATAATTAATATTAAGTATGAGTACATACAAACATATAAAAATAAAATTTTGTAGATATGTGTGTTTACTTAGGAACCGAATTATTACTTTTTTAATATTACTTTTTTTTTGTATAACTTGTATAATTGTATATATTTCATACTACTACAGTATAAAAGTCATTTTTTATTCAACTTCATACTAAAGTTAATCAAAATAAATGTTTTTTTTTCATTTTTTTTTATGAATTCATGGTTTTTTTTTATAAAGAACCAAAACTATTTACAAGTTAAATAACAAATAACAATAATCGAAAGTTTTTTTTTTTGAAGAAAATTATAACTACCTTTTATTATTATGATATCAAATGCAAAAATGGAGAGTGAGGAAAAACTCTCCTTCTATCTAGCATAAAATAGAAACAAATAGCATAAAAATAAACAAAGATAAAAATTCCTAAGATAACCGAAAAAAAATTTTTTTGGCAAAAAAGACGATAATTTTTATTAAAAATAAATATTATTCCAACATTTCTGAAGAGACAGAAGGAAAAAAGAACAAAATATCTTACATGTTATCAAACATCGAATAACACAACCTTAAAAAATTGCATTATTAATTGCATTTTTTTTATTTTTCCATTTCATAATAAGAAAGGTAGTTTCATATTTTATTTTATTTATACATTTTTATTACTAGTATAATATTTTGGTCGTAATTTAATATTTAGCTATTATCTGTTGTCTGAGACAGTCACGACCCACCGCGGCTAGTTGACGGACTTTCTGTGAAAAAAAAAACAAATAAAAAATAAGAAAAATCTGAAAGTAAAAAAAATCTACGAAAAATAGTTTTAACTAGATAATCTAGATTTTTTTTCCCTAATACGAAAATTTCACCAAATCGGCCGTTACTGTTTACAAAATGATGTTACATTCATTTGGTGTAAACCATACGAAAATTAGTACTATAGATTTAGAGCTAGATGCTATGTATGTTTTTATATAAACTGCCTTAGTGGTGTAGTGGCTAGTGTTTGGCTGCAAATCCGAATTGTAGTTCGAGTCCCGGGACACCAAGTTATGACAGAAAAGGAGTGCACGCCTTACAAATATAGTACAAAAGTTTATCCCACGGGATTGGACTTTCAAATTCCAAGAAATATCCAAATAATAACATAATTAAAATTCCAATCCTATAACTAATTTT